TAAACGCAATAAACAAACAAAGAAATAATAATACCAGGACTCGAATTTCCCATTCGAGCACTGATGTTATTATTTATCTATTTGTTTATATTATATATATATATACATATTAGTATATATATAATATATAATAATATATTATTTCAGTATACAATATAGCAAATAAGACATACAATACGGTACATAATAACTAAAAGTATTTCAATATTATTTAATAAATAGAATACAATAATATATGAGATAATATTATATAATGATATATAATGATATTATATTATATTATTATCATTATTATGATATTTTTATATAATATTATGTATATTATTTCTGATTATTTTCTTCCGGGCCAACATGTTGAATAACGCCACTTACCTCTTAGGATTCACTAATTCTTCAGTAACAAAATTCAGCTGATTCCTGTAAAAAATAAAAAAGCAAAAATATTGTTATTTTGCAATTCCTGTAGACTGTTGTCATATCCTATCACCACTCATACAAACTAAGCCCACACGAAATGTGTTTGTGTAGGAACATCCAAGTTTGTCCTTGCATGTACCTACGCCCTCTATAGTAAGTGAAGTATTGCAATCATAATTCATCCTTATCCTTTTCCTTTTCCTCCATTTTAAAGACTACTTTTGGGACCGCAATTTTTGTGGTCTTTAATTAGAAAGTAGATTACCATAATTATAAAAAAAAAAAATAGGCGATCATGGGGCCGCAGAAGGATGGCCTTTAAATGGAGGTGGCACTAATGAAGGAGCCTTTAAGTAGAGGGGGACCGTTATTCAATTACTGCAGTAGTGTATCTACAGGGGGCATGGAAGAAATATGTAGCCTTCTTCCTCCACTGTTAGAAACGCTAACAACGTATTCATATCAAATACCATGAATCGTAGGCCCAGAGTCCTTGGTAAAATGCAATTCCATATGCAAAAATTCTCGTAGACGATCCCTCAAAGGAAATGGATGGATCCAGATGTTCTGTGTAGCCTGTGGGTGTGAAGAAATAATAATGAACACAGCTGTGCCAACATAGGCTACGTGGAAGCATTGATTTGCTATTTCATTTGAATGGGAATATAATAATATAAATAGAACCAGCAATTAAGCTTGCGTGATTTTACTTGATATATAACAACGTGACATATCAGGCGCATGGACTGTTAATCATAGACATGCACCCCTACACACAGGCACACGCAGGCCTAATCTCTAGGAGTCAACTAGTACAATATTCACAGAAACACGCACCCATACCTTCTCCCTCATACAGGCACACGTATCTCTTCACACAGGTGTGTGCGCGCGCACGCGCCACTGCGTAGAATCGCATCGGGAGCAGCGTGAGTGCACGGTTTATATATTAATCCCTTACCTTGACAAATTCTTATAAATCCAACGAATATAATAATAACAAGTGCAAGGACCTTCGCAGCAGTAAAAACAACTTGCACCCTCGTTGCCCATTTTACACTGTAGCTATTGATGAAAGCAATGAGGACTGAAAAGGAAGTATATAAACCATTCAAGATTCAGTATTTATTTATTCATTTGGAATCATTGTCTGAGAGTCACAAAAGCAGAAAATCCCAGTGGCGGATTCAAGGGGGACTGAGCCGGCCTGCCCCTTCCCTTCAATTTTTCCAAATTATAAGAAAAATGGAGAACAAAAAATTATAATCAAATTTAAGTCTGAGAGTGTCATTTTCGGCCATCAGAGGTGCCATAATCATAACTTTGTACCTTCTTTCTGAGAAATTCCTTCCCTGGCCCCATCTATTTTGAGTTCCTGGATCCGCCACTGAACCCACTGACAAGGACGCGAGACTCTGAAACAAGTGTGTAAAGCTCCATTTTATCCCATACATAGTCAAAATATTGGGGGGATGATACAATGGACCATCCCCCTTGTCAATATTGGGGGGGGGATATATCCCCCATCCACCCCCCCCCCCCCAGGATCTACGCCTATGCACCTAAGGATCATACTAACGTGTTCTGTGGCACTTACGGACCTTGTGAATGGAGAAATGACCAAAAAACAACTAGGTTAAAATAGCTGTAACAAACAAAGATAATGTGAAACATAAACAAATACACAGAACGAGCTCTATACAATCTGCTGTTTATGTTATAACCATTCTTTCAGTTTCACATTATGTTATTTTTTGTTGAAAGAATGGGAATAAATGTTATTTTTTGAACAGGTGTATCGATCCTTGATTTGAAGTTGTTTTGAAGAAAAATGAAAAAGTAAAATAGGCCTATAGGATACTTTCCATAACACAGCAAATGTAAAACAAAATTTGCGAAAAGTAAAATCTATTTAGATCTCTATAAATAATGCTGCAATTAACGAAATACAGTAAAACAATATTAATAGGACACCTTCGGAATCAAATGCGGAGACCCTTCATGTGGGTCTCCGCTGAATGGGATTGGTTGTTAGACTTTTTTTTTTATAAGAACACATTTTATAAGAACACTGAGGCTGAAATTGCTTAAAAATTAAAAACAAAAAATAAGAACAAGTTGAGGCTGAGGTAAAATGGTAAAATAAGGTTTTTGAAAAACCAAAAATTTATATCTGTACCTTATGTGCAGTAATGTAGGTGTGACTATGTAACACCCCCTATAATCAGGTGTACTGTCAGTTGGGGCCATTTTTACCAGGCCTTTTTTCTGGCGCAATTTTTCCAGGGCCCATTTTTGCTGTACAATAATAATTTTCTATGTTTGAAAAGTGTGTAAAATAAGAAAATATTAAAAACATTTTGAGCCTAAAATCGGCAAAAAAATAAGAACACTGAGCCTGGGCAAAATTTTACTGGTTCTTATAAAAAAAGTGTAGTGTTATACAGTAACACTATATTTTCCACGCATCGCGGACAGAAAAGTGTCCAATGGAGGTGTCCCTTAAAATGAGTGTCTCAAACGAGGGGTTGTACTGTTTCAATTTCATCATAGTATAATGCAGGAACTGGTTTTGTTGGTGTCCAAACTATCCAGCGACATCAACTTTTATCTGGTTATCTATTGAACAGATTTAGTTAGACCTACAACTGTAGTTTGAGTTTACAAAGAAAATCCGGTTCACGATAGATTGAACGTGAAACTAAAGGGACACTAAAACAACAAAGACAAAGTTTCGAAGATATTGCTTGAAGTTATTTTGTTCTCCTTTTATCGATTATTAACCCACAAACTCAGAACAAGAACCTCCAAACTGAAGGGTGGGGATTTCCATTTTTCCCTGGGCACCAAAAATCTTAGTTACGCCCGGCGAGCAGGAAGTTCCACTTACCCCTCTCTGGATCGACAACTAGTATAAGTAATTATCGATAATTTATACTTACGTATCGCTAAAACTGCCCACATTTTGATGAGGTACGTCGGCGCTGAACAAGACCCAGAGACGAACAGCTGGGAAAAGTATGTCCCAAAAGTTAGTGTGATCGCTGCCAAAGAGCTCGGCTTCAGAACGATTGCGTATGTCCAGGAGAATAGGTATGCAGGGATTGGTCCGAATGCCTCACCGAGATAGGCATATTCTCCGCCAGATTTTGGTATAATTGTCCCCAGTTCGGCATAGCACAACGACGCTGCAAATGTAATTAGAAAAAAAAACAACTCAGTTCAGAGTGCAACAAAACTTTAGAACAGGGTTAGAATACAAAATAATTGCAATAACAGTCACAGTTTAAAAAGGCTAACAATCTGCAAAGTTGTAAAATTAACATCGTCGATTTTCCAAACGGTATGACGTAGGAATTATATTTATTTTGTGAAATATGAGCATATTATTAATAATAAAGAAATGATTGAAATCTTTATAATCAAAATTTAAATTGCTTTCCCAATTAATGTTCTAGTGCACAGTACTGGTGTTTTAGTTTGTTATTTAGGCCTACAATTCCTCAATATGTAAAATTGGTTGATTGAAATGGGCAAATAAGTATACAGTATTTATAAAAATCGTGTCAACAATATTCTATTTGGCGTATTCCTGTTGGCTAGCTCAGTTCTGATTGGTCAGTTAAAGTTCCATCGACATTTCGGGAAGATTACCATTGCGCCAGATATTTCAAATGTGAACTTTTTAAAAATATCATGACGATGAAACGATCAGTCTGAGTTAAGTTCAGAATAATAGTAACTTCACAACAATGAACAATTGTACAATAAGGTCATGGCAACACGCTATACAAAATAACAATAGGCTTGCCTTACAATGTATACGCATGAAGTGGAGGAAGGAAGCCGTCATTCATTCCGGGCAACATGCCTTACATTCCAGACGAATAAGTACAATTGAGTATTTTTTTCTATAAACCGCGTTGACCTTGACCTTGAGTTTAAATATTAATATTATTAACATTTTAAGATATTGCACGAGGGCTACAATAAGGATAAGCCAATGGCGGATCCAGTGTATTCGAAAAGGGGGGGGGGGACACTTAGGACTACTCAGTTACAACAGACTAAATTATAACATCTCATTTTAATAATCAACTGTTGTAATTACAACAGACTAAATTATAGCATCTTATTTTAATAATCAATTGTTTTAAGTTTGCTTCAGGACATTTCATATCAGTGAGGTTTTGACGAGCAAAACATCACTATGTTTTGAAACTGTTATGCGATGGTTGAATGCATCTGGTTATACATGCTCATTAAAACTCAGTAATAATTAGTGTTGGAACGAATCCAATATTATGACACGTGTTGATACAGTATACATAATCCAGACTATGTACCAAGAAACCACGTATATTTTTTAATTAATTTCCTCACTTTTCCTGCGTTGTATTGGTTTCGTACGTGAAGTGGGAGAAAAAGTTGTTTTGTCAACTGGGAGTGATTGTCACCGTAGTCACTCCCTTGTGCAATGAAGAGATGTAGAATGAAGCGATTCGATGAGTGGGCCTAATCTTTCTCACTTCTGCTTTCATCACGTTGATTGCAGGTGACTGAAAATGTGATTGCAAAATGGATCATTATTGCATCAGCAACGTAATATGGCGGCCGACTATAATGTTACAATATGAAGGAAATGATTCACCATCAAAAATGTTACATGTATCCTTTATCACATGAACAGAGAAGTAAAGTATGCACGCGTTCCAACCTAAGCAATGAGCTAAAAATTAAAATGCGCGCAGTATTTACCCTCACAAGATTTAATTTTTAATCGGATATTCTACCCCTCCCTTTCCCATTGAATTGAGGAGAGGAGAGGAAACAGGAGTGGCGCGTGTGGGACCAAGGTCCCCTTCGTTAGAGAAAAAAAACACAATTCGTCGGAGAAAAAATAATAAATAGGCTTATGTATTTTCAATATATTTAGTAGACGCTAAAATCGATTAATAAAAAAGCCTTTAAAACCCCTAAATTGTTATATTTGGACCACTTCGAAAGATTTTGAGCAACGCCCGACCACACCCACTTTGGTCTCTTCGGGGACGTCGTCCAAACACCCCCTCCCCCACCATCGCGAAAATCCTGGTACCACTACAGAGAGGAAATAAAACACCGTAGCCGCACCTAATTGAAAACATTACATGGTAAAATATCAACGTTCATTCGCATGTGTCGACAGTTCGATGGGTTAGTATGTAGGTACATTCTTCACGTACACATACAGTACACGTATTTTAAACTTATTTTAACTAACTTTTCCCTCAATATTTTGTCACAAGTACAAACATGAATAGATATAGGCGCGAATAGAGGCATGTAGTCTTATTTATTTTATTATGATGACATACGGTCATGAACTCTATCCCCTCACGTAATTATTACATTCACTTCCAGGAATGGGTCGTTCTTCAGTGTCAATGTCTTCAGTGAAAAATGCTAAAACGCAATCGATTCAAGAGACCACCCTGTGATGTGGTTGGTATCATGTGTACATCTGAACCCATATTTAGAATAATACTCAAACAAAATTGCATTAGGCGTAAAGTACAATTTTTTAATAGGTTTAATTTTCGGAGTAGCGTACTTATCCGGGTTCACTGTCGGGTATGTGTAAGCAAATGTTGTTAGACAAACATTGTTTCTGTGTCTGTATTGACTTCTCTGGTCTGTAGACGACCAAATGGTAACGTGCTCGTATAAGTTACGACGCACAGTTTAAATAGTTTAACAATCATGTCAACACAGTACAGAAATGTAAAATTTAAAAAAAAAAAAGACTTGTACGTGCATAATGTAACAATATTTTGATATTTTTTATTAAATTTGTATACACATATAGGCCTGTTAATCTATGTAAACTGTACATACAGCAGTCTTATATAGTATATTTGGTTAAGTTGTTTGAAATAAAGTTAATTATAGTTTTAAAATACTACAGAGAATGAAATTGAAATTGTTATTTTTTCTTTATTCTAATGAGATTTGACTTTCGAAAAATATACTTTGCGCTGATCTATCAATTATTAACTAACAAATTCAAAGGCCTATACAAAAAACGAAATTTATTTAGACGGTAATTGGCAAGGAAATATTTTTCAATTTCAATTTGAGAGCGTACTTTTTTTCAGGTCTACGTTAACAATATCATATGTTCTTACATGACTCGACACAAACTGTTCATTATGTACGCCCCTTCTAATTTATCTTTTAAAAGAACATGAGGGTGCATTAAATTTCAGCAATTTTGTTCTCAGGTTACATTGACAACTTACAATAGTGGGCGGATAAATAAATATTCCGGTGTTAATAGCATAGTGGTTTTCTTAAGGCTGATTCACACAGAACAATTTAGACGCGTTGATGCAGACGCGCGCGCTTTCGTTTCACGCGTAACACACATTGTTTAATGTGTGGGGGTCGACTTTGAATTTTCTACTGTTTCAGGATAAGCCTGCTTTTCTATAGAATATTACAAGCGACAACATCCATAGAAATCTATAGAACATAAAGTAGATCACTTTATGATGCAACGATTCTAAAGGTCTTACGTAACTTTCACAATGCATGGATTAGTTGAGTCCTCCAACTTAATGAACACAATGATGGGCCGGGTAGGCTTACCAATGTATGAGGCCTACTAACAAACCATTGAACTATTTTCAATAATTATTTTACATTATTACAATTATTTTACAATGTATTTATATGTTTGTATATATAAGTTAATCGGATTTAATGTACTTTTATAAACATGCCCCCCATACGCTATACTTTTATAGTTTGAAGATAATACAACCATTGGGCAATACACTCACATTATACGCCTAAGTTGATAGTGAAAGAAACAAAATCAGAACAAAAATGTGATGCAAGCCACCGAAATGCAATACTGCTGAACACTATTAGGTGGGACAAACAAAAAATAGTCCCTATGTCCCCTGGATATAGGGACCCCCATTCAGGTGACACTAAGGAAAAGCAAAACTGTCCCCTTATTGGGTTTGGCATCAGAAATATACTTAGGCCTACAATATTTCTTTACTTGTGAATTATACATGGTCTAAAGACAAAGCTGAAATCCATACCCTACTATAGCGACTGTAATATCCTATTTATCTGAAAACAGGATACATGAAGGCTATCCTACTTTTCTACCCAATAGGTTACCTAGAATGCATCTGGGCATGTGTAGGGCGAATGGTATTGGCTCTAATGTAGAAAAACGATAGATGGATATCGGTTGAGACAGTTGCGGCCAGCGGAGTGCCAGAGAGAATATGACCCACGGTTGGAGAGAACCCCAGTAGGGAGAATACTGCTTTAAAACATTTTCACCGCCTGAGAATGCTTTTAGAGTCATCTACAGGTACCTATCTTAACCAACCATGGTGTGACTAAGGTGGGTGAGGGGCCCCGTCGGGGATCTTACTCTTCGTGGGGGAATCTTTGGGTTGGGCAATACTTGGGTTGGGCAATACGAGATTGATGGGCAAAAGGAACAACTACTGTACATAGTGCTTTTTAATACGATATATCTGATCATTAACACATTAACGACCGCCAACACACGACCAATTTGGTTATTTGAACTTTTGCCGTGAACTAAATATTAGGTATTATTATTACGCCCACTCGTGAACTTCCGGTTCATTATACGGTAATAATAAAAGCTGATTCAAATAAATAATACTCGAGTTCTTCACCGTTCATTCACTGAAGCCCACGATCCAACCACGGTGTTATTGATTACATTTCCAAGATCTGAATATTAATAATTCGAATGAATAATAATCGACGAGTTTGGAGGTTACGATAACATGGGCATTGATCGTATTAAGATTCGAATTTCATAGCCTAATTGAATTTATGTTTTTAATAAATATATGATTTGGTATACTGTACGAAGAACCTAGACGCAATGTTTAGGTGTCTATTGAGGAATCATGCTGCTATCATGATTATGATGAGGATGATGATGATGATGTTGAATCAAGATAATGGTGATGTTGAGATGATGAGACGACAAAGATGAAGGTCATGATGATGATGATGATGATGACGATCATACGATCGTGATTATGATAATCATGATGATGTTGAGGAGGGGAGGAAGATGATGGTGACGATGATGAAATCATGATGATGTTGACGATAATTACAAATGAAGAGACGAGGAGAACAACAACGGCAATCTGTTCATATCTCCGTAGGCCTATATCACTGACGATTATTTAATGTGTTACTAATTACAGTGTTGGAACTTAGGTACAAGAAACACAAGATAGAGTTCTCCACAGAAAAAAACTGTTCTACCGAAATGCATGGTGGGAATACAAACAATGGGGCGCCGCGTACGCCTGGATCTAAAAAAGTTCTGCCACCGTTACATAACTGTGAATACATAATTTCCTTTTGCGGAGGTTGAAATCGTTGCCATTATCCATAAGATACAAACAAGTAGTATAAATAAATCAAAACAATAAAATGACAGACACAAAAGCGCAGAATCGTATGACCGGACTCTGATGTTCTATTTTCTCTATGCTCTGATTAGTGATAAAGTTTTCCTCCGTTAGTGTGCGTCTGGATATACCTAGCAACGGAAGGGCGCCCTATACGTCTGGACCAAGTATAGAAAACTTGCATTATAAAAAGAGAAGGGCACCGTGTACCTCTGGACCTACTTCCGCCTTACTTTTGCTATGCGAGTGCTCTATCTTGTATTTCTAGTATCTTTGCTTTAATCTCATTAGGAAATAAATGAAGTGAACATTTTGGATAGAGGAACGACTGATAGGCCATGCCTGGTCCTATAAAATTTCCTAAAGAACGAGAAATAACAAGATAATCACGGAAATATTAGAAGGAATAAATAAACAGGAGACAATTAGGATTCAGCAAGCATGGCCTCCATTGTTGAACAAAGGACGTATACCGGCTTTCTGATACGATAGGTAATTAGCTCTATTTACACAAACTACCAGCCAGCACAATAGATTCGTTGCAATTAAAAACAACCTTGGTATATATGAATATTTAAATTTTTAAGTAACAAAGCAAGTACAAATATACCCAAAAAATGAGACCCACGGCTCCATTAAGCTTCATATACATACAATCGAGATTACACCACTACACTCCACCCCCAAACCTCTTTCAATTCAAGCAGTTTCAGAACAAAGGGATACAGTACAGTACTTGTTGAGGACAGTGTTAAGTCTGTGTCTTGTAGTTACTTCACGACTTGTCGTCATTATTAATATCACAGCTTCCAAATGACATCTTTATAATTAATGCCTTTTGAAAATGTCAATATTCTGAGATTTTCCACATATCAATAATTTAAAGTAACGAAGCGTGTCACCATTTTATAATACGCGCGGTTCCGCACCAGCAAATATGTTCGATAAAAAGTATCAAATAAGATTTAGAAATAACAATTTGGATCACAATGCAGAGTTACTTCGGTTGAAACGGAAGTTTTGATTAATCCTCGGTGTGATGTTTACATTAGTTTCTCGCGGGAATTTTTTTTCTTTCACGAAAGGTTATCAGTAGGCCAGTACTGAAGTACGTAAGCCTACCGTTAATAATTGTTTTTACATTTTTATCGGTCTACGCATGAATGTAGTTAAGCTAAATGGAAATAACTGGATCACAAACTATAAACATCCTTTGAAAACAGGAATAGGCTGAAACCTTTTGCACATTTATTACCAACTCAATGTTTTCGTCCTGTTGTGGTATAGTGAACAACATTCTTTTCATTATGTTATTTAACTTATGTGATTACTATCTTGTGGTTTTCATGTGTGTATCTGATGTATTTGTTTTGTATGTTAAAGCATTGTGTACTGTTGAGAGTGTACCATCGGTGTTTGTTCGCATTTTTTAATTACAATAAATAAATAAGTAAATAAATAAATAAGTAAAAAAAATAAATAAATAAGTAAATAAATAAGTAAATAAGTAAATAAATAAATAAATAAATACATAAAAATAAATAAATAAATGAATAAATAAAAATAAAAATAAATAAATAAATAACTAAATAGATAAATACAAACATTGACTGTGGCAAGAGCAGATAATGACATCATCTTTGTTCACACCGATCACAATGAAAGGTCGTCGTCTGTGCATCAAGAATCAGAAAAAAGGGAGCAGAGAGAGGGTATCGGTTTTATGAGTTTGTAATCCGTTAGGTCTTTACATTAATTTGTCTGCAAAAACCGATTGGTTAAATACCGTATAGGCCTATTGGTTTATGTTTTATCGGATAACTCAGTACTTCAACTATGGTCCATCACAAAGAAAAATCAGCCCGGCAACATACCGATTGTGTAGAACAAAATAGAAACGAGCAAGGTCAAATTTTTCATTGCTCAGCATTTAATCTCCAATTCTTGGGTATAATCCCACTCCGGCCTTGACTTTTGGCGCTATTCCCGCTCATATCAAACCAGTGTAATCATGCACTGTCAAATCTATTAAATTCGTTTTTAAAGAGGCGCTCAAAATGCAATTTGTAATGGTCAAAGATGATGATGTTATCACAGACCCTATGTATATCCATGGAGATCCAATTTCAACGTATGGTACAGTACTTATGCTAGTGTTTTTTTCGTTTTATGACGCCGAGGCCAATCTCTATGGAACGCCAAAAAGGCAAATCTACTGTGTTTTGAAAGTTGCCCCTTTGGCGTTTCATACGTCTTTACCATGCGAGAAGGTGCAGACTGCTCACGTTAGTCGGTCAAAGTACTCGGCGATATTTCCACAATCGACAGCGATTTTAGGGCTTGGCTGCATGTCTCAAATCTGTGGTGGTTTTCATACGAGATTCATGCGAATGGCAAACGAAACCATCATATACGGTATGATACGGTGCCCCGTCATGAAGTTCAGTGTACACATACACTTTTCTACTAACGTACGCATCCCCAGACAAAATATTGATTAGATAGGCTAATGAAAAAAATAATTCAATACAATGATACGTACCCAGCATAGCTAAAACACCACACACCATCCATATCACTAGACTCATTCCGAGGCTTTCCGTCGATCGTAGTACACCTTTGGGTGATATGAATATACCAGAGCCAATGATAGTGCCTACTAGTAGGGCGATTCCTCCAACTAGGCCCACCTGTCGCTTAAGTACCATGGCCCCATCAGGATCATCTTTGGAACCTTGTCCTTTCCCCATTATTGTCTCTTCCCTCAGTATGCCCACCTGAAAGAAACGATATTAGAAAAGTTAAGATACTGGATTATATGTTTAGAAAATGTCGAAATCTATCTGCGATTTTTGTGGTATTTTTAATCACCTACTATTGACACTGTTCATACCTGATCCAGCTTTGTGCATTAACGAGGAAACACTTACCAATGTTGAATGTTGATCGTTAGAAAGCAAGGAACAGACGAGATGTCTGCATCCGCATATGCAAGACCATCGCTAGGAATACCACACAAGAAACACTGAAGAGGGAGGGATGGTTGTAGAATACGGTAGCACATTGAAGCAGGCGATACACGACAGATGTCGAAGTTGTTATACTGGATTTTAAAGACGTCCTAAATCAGAGAGTATCTGTTTATTTTTTTTTTCTTTTCTAGTAGAAGACTCTATTTCAGGTAGCGTCCATGGATATATGGAGTACAGGCATTTGTTCTGGTTTGGGTGCGTCGAGAAGTGGGTTCCTTGGTGCCGTTTTGTGTAGTCGGTTGGTAGAAGATTGGTACCATATGTTACTTGGGGATCTTGGTGTTGGGGGGGGGGGAGTGATGCCATGTGTCTCTTTCCCTGTCTCTTATACACATCTATATCACAGCTTCCAAGGGCTAAAGGGCCCGACGGGGGGGGGGGCGCTAGTGGAGCAAATCGAGTCATCACTTGGCTGGGGACCGCCTAGGGCCCCCGGTGGGGGTCCAGGGGGCGAATCCCCCTGGAAGCCACGGGTATTTGATGAATTATGGCGATTTTTTATTACTTATTTGATCCCCCTGGAAGCCACGGGTATTTTACGATTTATGGCGATTTTTTATTACTTATTTGATAGGCATCGAGTTACTATAATATGACTTCATGTAGGCTATGCTTTCTATTGTTGAAGTCAGCTTCCAAAACCAAAACATTTTGAATAAAGCAAGAAACAATGAGTATGCAATGTAACCATCTAATTTATTTTCAAATCCTCATTCTTGAAAATGAAATTTTTTATTTTGCATTAAATCTGTCAACCACGCTGTCATGGTCGAGGTTGCTTCATCTATCACGATGCATTCCAACCATCATGAGGCTATGTAAATGAGCAATTGTCATAACAGAACGCAAATTATTTTTAATTAGTCTCATTGAATTATTATTATTATTATTGTTATTGTTGTTGTGATAAACACAAACAATATGGTGGCTAAACGAATATTACATGTAAATATTTTTTTTTTATTTGTTTGTTCCCCGACAAAATATATCGTCTTCTCCGACCGGGGGGGGGGGTATAAACCCAGGCCCCCTCTGGCGCCACCACTGTCTCTTTCTAACATTGCTATGACCACAGAATTATAAAATTCTGGATATTCTGGACCTGGAGAAATTGTTGAAGACGCAAGTGGTGTCAATTTTGTTTTGTTGACGTCTGGCATTATTAGTATAAAAAGCGGACGAGGTGAGTGGTTCGTATTCCAACTCCCTTTGTAAATTGGTATCAAAGGCAATTACCTCTATTTCAGCAAGATTTTATAATAATCAGTGGGCCTAATGGCAGAAACAGACAACTTCAGAGAGTGGTAGGCCTACCGGTACCACAGTCAAGTAGGCCTACACTTCTTTAGGAGAATAGCTGTTTCATAGCTAATTTAAATTAATCGATTAATCGGTGGGACCCAGGTTTGAACACAAATGAACCCACCGGGGTTCATTTGATTGTCTGCACTCGCGATTACATTATAGTTATATCCCGAAACATTCATGCAAGGGTGTAGACCTAAATTTTTATTGTTTCATCTTGTTTAAATAAATGCACAGAGACATGGGTTAAGCTGACGGAAGTATCCGGATGTAAGGATTTCTTTTGCCAACATTAATTGGTTGTGGGATTTGAAATGACACCAATTTACCTTATCCAGTCCTCATTGTGTACGCACTACGGTTCATATACAATAATAAATACAGTATCAAAATATGTATTTCGCAGTAGAATATATGCTATTTGTAGTCCTACAGCAGTTACAGTAGGCGATTATCTAGGCTTAAGCCTAAAGCTGGAGCTATGGAATAGGCCTTCCATAGGGCTTTACCTTGGGCCATTAAATTTGTATAACAATAGTCAAGAACAAAAGGTTGTGTATCTAGCCTTCATAATCGAGGTTAATTCGTAATGGCGATTTCTGTGAAATCGATACAAAACAAACGATACAGACAACTTTTGCTGGCTACTCAATTACTGTAGTACGATACGATGCACCTTTAATTAAAAAAAAACCAACAAAACACGCGGGAGTTAATGACACTAATGTTGATGCCGTCTGCTCTAGGCTGCTGATTGCCTCACACGTTTTTTAAATCATAATCAAAGCTTCCGCCTCAGCTCCCAAGATATGATGTAGCATTTCATTATGTATACTCAAATGAAAATGCGATAATGATTGTGACGTCAGTCTTTGTTTATATTCTTGAATATCCAAAGAGTAATGCAATTATTTACTTCCAGTTTTAAACTCCACCCATTCATAACCATTAACGATTCTTGTGACAACATACTTTGCTGCGTCAGCGTGACTGTCCTACGATTGCATCATCTCAATGTCTCGTGGCCACGTTTAATGTTCTGTTGTTATGACGGCTGGCACATAGTGTGCTCATGGTCTCTATGGGTTGGTCACATATACATACCGTACATATCAGGGAAATTGTTATAGTACATGCGTACAATGTATATCCAACTTTTATTTGCCTTTTCTATATAGATTATATTGGGGCTAACCAGCTATGAATTCACACAGTACATACAGTATATAAGTACCCACATATACTATATATATTTTTATAATATTTATAAACAATTTCCGCTCACAAAGGCAACCTCTGCCATACCCCTTCTTCTTATCTATAAAGCATTTACCGCATGGTTTAGAGTTTCCTAGGCCTATATACAATTATTTATTTTAGATCACCATACTTAAAAGTTCCTGCGGTGTGTCTGAATTCGCTTGAGTGCTTCGGGCAAAGATTAGTAAGTACTGTAAGGTGTCCTTGCTTCGAGCACTTAAAAACAGTGATGTTCTCAATAGACAGTAGTTAGGGGAAGTCCTTACTGTTTACAGTATAAATATTTATCATATACACGTACACACACATACCCACATATATATGTCACGTGTGTGTTTGTATATATATATATATATATATACTGGTATGCCTAATATGCAGACGATAAGTTTATAGTTAAAATTCAAGACAGATACAATCAATTACAATAAGATAAAATAAGTTACAGATACAGTAACTGTTTGATACTAGTATTGTTGATATCTCGGTCCATGAAGTACGAGCATAGCTTTCATTCATGCTTAGAATCCAACGTGGCCTAGCTTAATCTTTACCGCCTGTTGTACAAGAGAAACCGCCACGTTGATAATCTAAACAACAAGCAATAGAAACACACAAGGTAGAAAGGCTTTTTAGAATCATTACGAGAATGGAATGTTTAACTCACCGTATGAAACCCAAATGAATAGCAGCCCACTAATCCACCTCAATACTACAGTAACGACTGTACTATGTTTTGACTAATAATAACTAAAACAGCCATACGATGCAAAAACAGACACGCTTGAGTAATCATTTTCAACCAATGAAATCAGGTTATTGATTTGATTGACGGGTATCAACTACCAATCACATTGGTAGAGTTTCTTTACTATTCGTCTTTATTAATACTATATTACAAATTATGTTATATAATGAACGTTTCATAATCTTTATAATTGCATTCATGTTAATATTGACTGCGATATCCATCCACATTCATGTGTTCCTCTTTGACGAGATACAATGCTTCTAAATTTAATTAAAAGCAGAACAAGTAAATTCGAAGGAATTTTTGGCGAATCTTATTTGAGTTTGGTTCGCTCAGAAAGTCAACATCTTACGTATTTGAGTTTCATTACTGTTAGGTTATATTATATTCTACATATATTTCGAATATATATAATATATATAATATATATATATATATAACAAATAGTATTCAACTGCCGAGATCGTCCGGCATTGGTTGGTGTTGGTTGTTATTACGTAATATGACTGCTCCCTGGTTGTATCATGTATACTCCATGTTGATTAATTGTTGGAGGCATCGGATGAAAGATACAAGAGTCCGCCTTGTCGAGTTGGGCAACCCATCTCTAGCTCATGGTATATCCCTTCCATTGTACTCATTAATGTTTACATCTCAATCATTTTAAATTTGTTTTTTCTTTTTTTTTTCCTTTTTTTTTGTGTATCTTTTCTTTGTATTTTGTGAAATGTGTTTTTGTTATTTGGATGCACTACCAGATGGTGTGCACCACTGATACAAAAGTGTTCCAATAAAGTTCAAAGTGTCATCCACCAGTATAAATTACTACACATTGGCATGTTCCCGCCCCCATTATGCATTTGTTAAAAATGGACCTGTTGCAACATAGGAATATTTTGTGGGGCTAATTTATGTCTCATTGTCTGAAAACCAGTTTAATCTGGAAACAACGACAACTGGGCAATCAATCACATCCGCTTGACCAAATATCACTTGGAAGTGTTAAATGACTTTTTCACAGATTAAATAATTCCAAATAGCACACGAAAGTCGCTCCCATCATAGAGAAAATAGAACGGTTCTATTCTATTTTCTCTATGCTCCCATCCCCCGAGTAATTGCCAAATACGAGACTACATGTCTAAAATCAATACAAACCTATCCTACCAAATTTAGTGGTGGGAATGGACTTTTCCGCTAAGCCCCGCCCCCTCCCCCAGGATATTGTTGCTAAGGTCCCACTAGTGTAAAAATATACGCAAGGCACGTGCGTTTGTGCGACAACTGGCGTGCTAGATACGCGCGTATTCCTGGCCCTGCTCTGATTGGTCAGTTGTTAAGTTTGATTGACACGCTAGCAAGGACTTAACTAGAAAGGTCGAATGTAGGCAATCTGAGCTCTGATAGTTATTCGCAGACAAATGTATCGAGAAAAAAAAATATCAGTATTCTATTTTGTTTAGGTTGAATCCGTCAGGCCTATAGGCATTTTATCCACTGTTCTCCCTGCCGATATGTAAGCGCTTCGACTGGAGTAGTGAACACGAACAAACATCAGTCACGGTGATGGACGACGAATAATTTATTCTATAATAATTTTAATAATAACACAATGATATGAAATTACCTTAATCAATACGTTATTACTGTTAAATTAGACTACATAGATCAGACCGCAGGATTTGCAGGTGCAGAGAGGTGTGTGGGTGTAATATATTGAAGCCGTCTTAATTATATCGCTTATCGTTTTACTATTTAATACAATGGTCCACATTTCGATTTTTTCGTATTACCGTTTTATTCTCACTATTGAAGTGGACAGATGGAATGTCTTTATTACGGGATATTGGGAAGGGAATCCTAATTCTTAAAATTCATAATGTAAACCTAAAATTGTGACCGCCCTTTAGAAAAATAAGCCTACAGTGAGAGTCTAAACATATATATATATACCTCTAAATCATCAAAGAAAGGTAAATACCGTGTTCAAATAAAGGCCATGATAACACATCTTGTAGCATAGCACACCGTATTTACCTTTCTTTAATGATTTATATATAATTTAGCAGTATTAACGGCTATCTTGATTTATATTATATGCCTATATATATATATATATATATATATATATATATAATAAATCATCAAAGAAAGGTAAATACAGTGTTTAATAAAGGACAATAATACATCGCGTAGCTCTCAACGAATGTAGTCCTGTAAATAAATGAATAAAGAAATTGTGTAATAAAATGCCTCTGGCGGGACTCGAACCTGCGACCTCTCGCTGTCAAGGCGAGCGTCATAACCATTAGACCAC